ATCATCCGGATGTTGTATGTCTGTCGAATTGTTTAATTCACAGACCTCATCTCCTGTTACTCTCTTTCCAAAGTTGTACGATACGCATGCGTTCTCCAGATAACACTGAACTCTGCACGAATGCTCAGAGTTTAAGGCAATTGTTCTTATGACGTGTTTTTCCAGCGCTGAGCCATCTTTGGCATCCAAAAACTGCAGTATTCGGCAATTATCTGCAATAAAAAGTATGTTTTGAAAATAAGACATCGATAAGACCTCGCTATCAATCGTTTAACGGCAGGTTGTTTCGTCTTGTTATAAATTATAACAGGATGTTGTTTCAGAAATCTGGAAGAAAAAACGGACTAGGAAAATGCATCGGCTGAGATATTCGCTGAGGGCAGAGGACACATTTTAGAAAATTGTCTCTGAAAGCCATCAGGGTTTTTTAATTTTGAGAAACTGCTTTAATGATGAAAACTGGAACTCGACTTATTGACATTTGAAAGGACCAAAATTACCATAAGAGTGAGGAAACAATTAAGGAAGGCTGACCCGCTAATCTAACCACGACTAATAAATAAGACAAAATATATTCATGCTTTTAATATGTGGAAACTCGAATTGGAAAAAAATATTCATTTTTTTTAAGCCGTAATCTCTTATCACATAATTCATGTAAATAATTCCATGATTTCAAATTTAAAGCGTCGTGACAAACCAACCATCCTTCACGAGAACAGATAAAATGTAAATTCCGCTTCAGCCATTTAAGAAATGACAAATCATTCCCGCATTATTTACGGAAGATGGAAGCTCTCCAAAGAGGCAGGGAAGCTGGGGAAAGCATGAACATTATACTCAACACAATTGTATAATTATCTCAATAATAACAAAAATGAATTTCACTTTTTGGTCACTCGGCAAAGGAAGAAAGAAGAATAAAGCAATGATCATTGAAATTTTTCTTTATGAAAACAGGACCAAACGTACAGAACAAATCTTTAACTTAGTGAAGCATTTCGCTGATACAATCTATTTTTTAAACTCACCTTCCGAAAGAACCAAATAAATTGCAATCGTGAATAGGAAAAAAATGCTGATCAGTTGTTCCACCATAAGGAAAGATATCACTCCAAGTACCAACAATAAAACTATTTTACACAGTTCTTCTGTGGTTTGAATTCTTTCTTGGCAAAATCGGAGCAGAACAGTTTGTCTCTCCAATTTACGTCCCTTTGAACTTACTGGGGATATGCCGTGATGAAAACAGGTCTTTATGATTAAGACGAGTTTAGAAATGTCAGGTTTGCCGTGTTTTATTATTAATCGATGTTCGCTTTCCATGTGGGAGTTTAAAATTAGGTTTTCGCAATTGAATGGCAGCTCACGACATTGTTGTCACAAATTTCACAAAATGAAGAGAAAATTATACGAGAGCCATAGAATAACATTTAGAGGTTAATCTATTATAAAGGAAAAGGATTAAAGATAACAATCACCTCTTCTCGGCGAAAATGATGAATGAAATAATAGTCCAATCTGCATTTGGTGGCGCCGTATTAAGCAGTCATTTGTCAAAGTCACGAATATGTTTCTCCTTAATCACTGTAATAGTTTTCACCTCTATTTAGCGGTCACTTTTAGTAGGCGGTAGCGGTCACCCTTTACAAAATCCTTTTTTTATCGTCCTCCACCTGTATATAACGGTTACTGAAAGCGGAACTGTTCCAGTAAAACTAAGAATAATCTTTTAAGTAATTTTGAATTCATGTTTCTCTCTTAAAATCAAAGTAAGCGGTATTTTCGAGCGAAATTCTGTACATTAAGTGGTCAATGATGTATTTAGCGGTCAACCCGCCATTCCTACTGTAAAAAATTTCGACCGTAAAAATTTCACTATTGAAAACTAGCTCAATAAATTGAAATAAGATATTCATTCTGAAGAGCTCGCTCCGAGATTTCCAAGCCCAAAATGGATCCCCAACAGAACAAAGGTCTGTATTTCTGCCTAATTCGAGACTATGTTTTTCCAGTTCAAACAATAGCTGCCTAATTAAACTTTCAAATAATATCAGGTGAAGGCCGCTTATCTCGAGGTGGGTTTGAAGTCTAGCAGCCCAGCGGGAAGGTTTTCAGAGCGTTTACGACAACTAAGGATAAATGGAGTCAAAATTTTATTTAACAATATTGATAAACACAGAGGTCAAACGTTTGCGAATGTACGAACGTATTATCCATCATGCTTTTAGGCCATTGGAACCCAGTGGTATCAAGAAACTCTCGGAGTAACGACAGGAAGAAACAACAAACTCAACCCACATGTCTAATACGGGGTCACAACATAAAACTCATGATTTATTGAAGAACGCAACTCATTTCTAGCTAAAGTCAATTTATCCGGCCCCACACATGTCAGCTTTATTATGGTTTTCAACGGGATTGTAAGTCAGAGCAATGCCCCAAGGGCCATATCATAATAGTCATTATTTTTCTTCTGTGGCTCACTTCAGTTTAGCAAATTTAATCAAACTGACCCTTTGTTTTGCTGGCAGAAAACAACAGTTCGACAGCCAGCCCTTTGCATGCCACCCGTTAAACGCTTTCGTTTGCTTATGTCTTCTTGTGAAATAGCCACCCACTGAGAAAATATATCAACGTTATTGAATAATTGGAATTGTAGCTTCACAACAATCCTACATAAGAGACTCCTGCTCCATGCATGAGCCGATTTCAAACTCTTGGCAATTTTTTGCATTTAACAAGAAATTGGAATAGAAATGGCATGTGTCCTCAAAGCAGGTGTAATACATTCTCTGTAAATTATGGTCGAATTTACTGAAAAGGGTTAGAAACATCTAAATTACTCTCAGGCATTTTTTTGATAAGCATTCGATTTAGAAAGGAAAAGTCAAAGAGGGCGCCAAGTGAAGAAAGATGAAAATTATTTCACACACCTTACAGAATTCTACCCTTACTAAACTATTACTTTGGGTCAACTTAAAATTGACAGAAGTGACTAGTTAAAGTAAGTACAATAAATGTCGAAAGAATGAAATTTCTCATGAAGATTAATTATTCTATTAATTATGCAAAGCCTTGATCAAGTCCTCTAAATATGCCAAGTATAAAACGTTTTCAATATAAATAATTAAATACCGTCAGAGGAGTTTCCTGTTGCCCTACCTATAGTTTTATTTATCTTTAGTCAGGTTGAAACCGCAAGCCATCGATCGCCAGCCATCACGCACTCGCATGCACTTACTCCTATTAGAAAAATTATATCATGATACATGATTTACTGATTGGGTCAACTGTAAACTGAAGTAACTGGAGCAAATATAATACATGCTGAAAGAATGACATTTCTCATGATATTTACTCTTTTTATTATGCAAAGCCTTGATCAAGCCCTCTAAATATGCTAAATATAAAAAGCTTTTCAATAATTAAATACCGTCAGAGGAGTTTCCTGTTGCCCAATCTAGTTTTATAAATTTTTAAGTCAAGTCGAAACCGCGAGGCATCGATCGCCAGCCATCACGCAGTCACACGCACTTATTGAGCATTTCATATAGGAAGGACAAGTCAAAGAGGGCGCCAAGTGAAGAAAGATGAAATTTATTTCACACACTTTACAGAATTCTACCCTAACTGAACTGTCACTTTGGGTCAACTTAAAATTGACAAAAGTAACTGTTTAAATTAAGTACAATACATGCTGAAAGAATAGAATTTCTCATGAAGATTAATTACTCTTTTTATTATGTAAAGCCTTGATCAAGTCCTCTAAATATGCCACATAGAATAAGTTTCAATATGAATAATTAAATACCGTCAGAGGAGTTTCCTGTTACCCTACCTATAGTTTTATTTATCTTTAGTCAAGTCGAAACCGCAAGCCATCGATCGCGAGCCATCACGCACTCGCACGCACTTATTTCTACTTATCACGCACGAGAGCGCAGTTTGCGTGAGGTTTATTCCATCGAACATTCTGGACTCAGAATAAAGAAATGGGACGAGAAGAGAGAAAATACAGCTCTGATTCAAATTATCAAGCGTAAACCGTTCTATCCAGCTTTTTTGTTTTGTTTTCAGGAATGAGTTAGGGCCTTGAAATTTTAACCAGCAGCAGTTAAAAGTCTAAGACGGCCGTTTAAGATAGTCAACAATAAGTTAGGATTTTATATCCACAAATTAAATGTCATCTAAGTCACTGCGCAAGTAGAACTCTGAAAAACTTCAGTCCTTGAAATGTTTTGAACTCATATTCACTGTTGCTGAAAGCCAAAGACAACGGGGAAATATGATATGTTGTGTAAGATGGGACGGCTTTCCCCAACCGGAATAAAACAGTTCTAAAAAACGCCTATACACACTTTATCTTCCCCATCCGTTATAAGAGAATCTAATCCATTTGTAAGCCGATCTCACACTTCCTATGACCTTTTCCGTTGACTATAACAGGAATTTATGTGAAAAATAGCTCGAGGCCTCGAAGCAGCTGTGATACTTTCTCTGTAATTATCCGTCAAATTTGAGTACATGTATCACAAATAAGTTTAAAAGGGTATTCATTGAGAACAACTGTCGGATCTCTAGCGACAAGGAAAGTCAAAGACACTGCAAAGTTAAGATAGGTGCACTTAATTACACGCATTACAAAACTTCTACCTTTAAGAACAATCACTTGGTGTAAAAATCAAAATTACATCGTCTTTCATCATGTAACTAATTGGAGTAGTCGCTTACTGAAGAAACTAAAGTAAATATAATACCTGCTGAGAGAATGGCATCTCTCATAAATTTTACTCGTATAATTCTGCAAAGTCTTGATCAGGCCTCCTTTAATATTCTAAATGATAATTCTTTAAAAGGACGAACTGTTTTAAAGTTAAGTTTCATTCTTGACGTGTTTGTGATATCTGAATTAGTTCAACGGCAGATTAAACAAACGACTAAAGATCAAGGTATAATGATATACAGTATCCTTAAAAACAAGATTTGTGTTTCAGCCTCTAGCTTTTTCCGCAGTATCGGCTGGCACAAACTTGGACCGGTTTCAGTCTGTATACAAAGAAAGAGCTGCAATTCCGTACTTTGATCATAATGTGGCGGTGACAACAGTAACGATAGCCATGAAAACAAACTTTTCTGGAAACCACTCCTTCGTTAACTGTTGGGTATGCTCCGACCATCCACCCAGGCAAGTCCGTTCCACATCTATGGTGCGGTAGGCAGTGAGTAGGTATACTCGTTCCAGCCCCCGCCGAGAATCTGTACCAGTCTTCTGTCAAATTTTTATCACATTTTCGGTCACCGCGACCAAAATCGCTGTGTCGATCGGAGTCATTCAGAATCTTGTACTGATTGCATTCTGAGGGAGCTAAAAATGAAAATGTATTGGAATACTCAAGCATGTGGCTTTATCAAAAGCGAAATGTTCTGATATCTCATAAAAGATGGCGAAAGCGAGGACATGGGCACCAAAACAATTTTTTGGGGGGATGGGGGTGGGGAGAATTTGAAAAAAGATGGGTTCATATTTCCTTCAGATTCAGAGTCGCTCAAAACCTAGAACTGATGACGTTTTGAGATACTTGAACATTTAGGGTCCTTCGAAACATTCATGCACCTGATGATATCAGGAAAGTAACGTTTTAAACAACTGCTTCGTAGACGGCACTGGGGAATAATTGTGCCAGAGGACAACAACAATATATCTGTTATTCCATTACTGCGTCAATTTATCAAATAAATTCATGAGGACGCGCGCAAAGTATGCAACTTTTATAGACGGTATGTACGCGCGACAGATCTTTTAGGCGGTCACATAGAACACTTTAATGGTTTCGTCCGTGTTGTTTCATCTTTCGTGTACTCCTTCTGCGATCGATACGATACACAGATAGGGCCGTAGGATGTATTTCGCAAACTCAAATTAAAATATTAAAAAGTGAAATAATAGTGGAGTCATATATCCCTAATTCGATGGTGTAACATATAACACGAGAGGACATTTTGCTCGTTTCTCGTATTTTTCTACACAACTTTTACATAAAATACTACTCAACACTCAAAACATCCGCGCGTACTTTAAGTTAAACCATTGAATAAGGTGTATTTATAAAAAGTCAAAGGAGTTATTCTATTTTTTTAATTGAATATACATTCAGACAATGCAAACACTATTTACCCTTGATCTCACGTGTAACAAAGAGCATGCGCTAAAATTGGTGGAAAGGACACTTAACATTTCCGAAAGCTTTATTTTCGGCCGGTCATCCAAGTTAGGGCTCCAAATAAGTACAGAAGATCTCCTGCTGCTAATCCTAACCCAATATGAAGACCTATTTCAAAATATTCCGTTCGCTCTTAAAGAACGAACCTAAGAATCACCAACCTGTATCACACAGAGTTCCAAGGTACCCCTCAGGGCAGTCACACTTGAACCCATTGACAAGATCTCGGCATGATCCTCCATTGTGACACGGATTAGCGCTGCAATCGTCTATATCTGCAATTCCAATTGTGATTGGCTTAGCTGAGCATGATTCGCTACCTTACGCGTCGCTCCAATATTTTGTTGGGGAATAAAAAGTACATGAAATGTTCAATTACTCGCAAGGCAAGGGACCTGAGAGGGTTCAAGGACTTTTAAGAACAGGAAAACCTCGTTATATGGGATTAGTTATTGCAAGATACCCCCAGTGACTTCAGAAACGGGTCTAATCAAAATTTGCCAGGAGATTATTTTCTTTTTTCGTTTTTTTTTTTTTTTTTGGCAATAATTGGTTTCTGTAGTGTCGCAGCTGACAATGGAATTAGGAACTATTCGTGCTCTCTCTTACGTCCTTGAGCTCTTGAGGTACCAGTGACAAATTCTTAGTTTTGTTAGATGTCAAAACATCGAAATGAAAGACTGATCAAAATTGAGCCAAAATAGTCATAGGCTGAAGAGGATAACTTGGATTTCAGATGGTGTTATCCAGTTCCTTTCAAATATCTTACCTGTTTCGCATTTTAACCCAGTAAAGCCTGCAGCACAAAGGCAGCGGTACCCGTGTGGTAAAAACCCGGATTGACATGTCCCACCATTCATACAAGGCGTGGTTCCACATGAGTTCTGGGAAACGATAAATGGAAAAAAACATTTCAATCAGACGGAAGGAGACAGGAGGATTATGGGAAAGTACGAAAAGAATCTATGAACGTAATTCTTTCTGGAATGATAAAAGGTTAAGGTTTGTGAGCTGTAGCTCATAATTGCCTTACCTTTTCTCAGGTTCCCTCGAATGAAGTGACATGAAGAACTGCAGCTCTTCATCGGAATATGCTGATCTGAGAGTTTCCTGGGTGGAGAGAGACATTGTAATAGTAATGTGACTTGCCCAAGAACATGATATAATAATTGGGCCAGGGCGTGAATCATCCGACATGTTCTGATTGCAGTGTACGCAACAATGAGGAACTACAATATTGAACGGCTCTAATGAGACATCTCCATGCAGGGGGTACATTCACTCACTAAAATTATATATGGATAATTTAGTATTATCGACTGAGTTGATCACGTAAATTGGCCACCGTAAAGAGTTTAACTGCTGACGTTTCGAGCGTTAGCCCTTCGTCAGAGCGATTGAAGAAATTGTGGGTTGTGTGTGGGTTTAATATGCAGAAAGTGGAGCCACGCTATATGACTTTTAAAGGAAATTTTTATATACCTCAGCTCCACGATAAACGAAATTCACTCTCGGCTTTAAATCGTCCGGATGTTGTATGTCTGTCGAATTGTTTAATTCACAGACCTCATCTCCTGCTACTCTCTTTCCAAAGTTGTACGATACGCATGGGTTCTCCAGATAACACTGAACTCTGCAATGACGTGTTTTTCCAGCGCTGAGCCATCTTTGGCATCCAAAAACTGCAGTATTCGGCAATTATCTGCAATAAAAAGTATGTTTTGAAAATAAGACTTCGATAAGATCTCGCTATCAATTATTTAACGGCAGGTTGTTTCGTCTTGTTATAAATTATAGCAGGATGTTATTTCAAAAATTTGGAAGAAAAAACGGACTGAGAAAACACATCGGCTGAGATACGCACTGAGGGCAGACGACACACTTTAGCAAAATTATCTCCGAAAGTCATCAGGGTTTTTTAATTTTGAGAAACTGCTTTGATGATGAAAACTGGAACTCGACTTATTGACATTTGAAAGGACCAAAATTACCATGAGAGTGACGTTCATCAACAGATGGACTAAAACAATTAAGGAGGCCCGACCCGCTAATCTAACCACGACAAATAAATGAGAAAAAATATAAAATATTTTAATATGTGGAAACTCGAATTGGAAAAAATATTCATTTTTTTAAGCCGTAATGTCTTATCACATAATTCATGTAAATAATTCCATGAATTCAAATTTTTAAAGCACCGTGACAAACCAACCATCCTTCATAAGAACAGATGAAATGTAAATTCTGCTTCAGCTACTCGACAAACGACAAATCATTTCCGCATTATTTACGGAAGAAGATGGTAGCTCTCCAAAGAGGCAGGGAGGTGTTGACTGACTCGCTTTTTCGTGTGTATTTTTAACAGACGCAGGGGTAAGCACGAACACCATACTCAGCACAATTGTATCATCTCAATAATAACAAAAATGAATTTCACTTTTTGGGTCACTCGGCAAAGGAATAGAGAATAAAGCGTTGATCATTGAAACAGGACCAAACGTACAGAACAAATCTTTAACTTAGTGAAGCATTTCGCTGATACAATCTATTTTTTAAACTCACCTTCCGAAAGAACCAAATAAATTACAATCGTGAATAGGAAAAAAATGCTGATCAGTTGTTCCACCATAAGGAAAGATATCACTCGAAGTATCAGCAATAAAACTATTTAACACAGTTCTTCACTGGTTTGAATTCTTTCTTGGCATAATACGAGCAGAACAACTTGCCTCTCCAATTTACCTCCCTTTGTATCCACTGAGGATATGCCGTGATGAAAACAGCTCTTTATGATTAAGGCAACTTGGTTTAGAAATGTCACGTTTGTCGTGTTTTATCATTGATCGATGTTCGCTTTCCTGACGGGAGTTTAAAATTAGGTTTCCGCAATTGAATAGCAGCTCAGGGCATTGTTATCACAAATATCACAAAATAGAGAGAAAATTATACGAAAGCCATTGAATAATATTTAGAGGTTAATCTATCATAGATGAAACGGATAAAAGACAACAATCACCTCTTCTCAGCGAAAATGATGAATGAAAAAATAGTCGAATTTAGTGGCGCCGTAGTAAGCAATCATTTACAAAGTCCTTTTTTTATCGTCCTCTTCCTGTATTTAACGGTTACTGAAAGCGGAACTGTTCAAATAAAACTAAGAATGATCTTTCAAGTTATTTTGAATACATGTTTCTCTCCCAAAATCAAAGTAAGTTAGTATTCATGTAGAGTAATGTTTAAGGATTTTTATCTCGGGTTGATTTGGTATTATCAACTAAGTTAATAGCGTAAATTGGCCACCGTAAAGAGTTTAGCCCTTCGTTAGCCCCTCGTCAGAGCGAATGGGGGAATTGTGGATTTTTATCTCAGTAATTTTTTCAAATCGGCTCTAATACACTAGCTGGTTTTTCTTTTTCATTATTTAAGATAACTTCCCTCTCTAATCAGCCCCCCTCCAAAAACGAACTTACGAGAAGAGAAAATGCGTCAAGAACACCAAGGTTCTCCTCTCCCCACCCTCCCCTCTACTTCTTTCTAAGGCTTTAAGTTTCTATCAATCTTCAATAATAGGTCCCCTCATACCCCTCCCTTGAGAAAATGAAAACTGTAACATAAAACGCGTCAAGATAATATTCCTATAAGGATGCTACGCTTATGGTTACACCGTAAAATTTTTGCTCAATGTTCAATACAAATTATGTTTGTGTTTATAAAAACCTCTGTTTTGATTTGTGTTGGTTTTTCAATCAAACAAATGCATACTATGTACGATATTCACTGCAGCTAAGCCATAATTCACAGAAACATAAATTACTTCAATTCTATTTTTCAAAACGTTAATTAAACAACCCCCACCATCGAATTATGACCTCAGCTAGCAGCCAAGCGGGAACTTAAGGTTTTCAGAGCGTTTACGACAACTAAGGATAGATGGAGTCACAGTTCTTTTTAACAACGTAGATAAACACAGAGGTCAAACGTTTGCGAATGTACCAACGTATTATCCATCATGCTTTTAGGCCTTTGGAACTCAGTGGTATCAATAAGAGCCATTTCAGCAATAGACATTCCACGAGGTGGCTCTTCTTTCCACTGTTTCCACTGGAATTAAGAATGTTTGTTCTTGTGGAGGGAGGAAAACCGGAGGACCCAGAGAAAACTCTCGGAGCAACGACAAGAACCAACGACAAACTCAACCCACATGTCTAATATCACTTTACCATTATTTTTCTGGGTCACAACATGAAACTCATGATTTATTGAAGAACGCAACTCATTTCTAGCTAAAGTCAACCTATCCGGCCCCACACACGTCAGCTTTATTATGGTTTTCAATGGGATTGTGAGTCAGAGCGATGCCCTAAGAGTCATATCATAATAGTTATTATTTTTCTTCTGTGGCTCACTTCAGTTTAGGAAATTTAATCAAACTGATCCTTTGTTTTGCTGGCAGAAACAACAGTTCGGCAGCCAGCTCTTTGCATGCCACCCGTTAAACGCTTTCGTTTACTCATGTCTTCTTGTGAAATAGCCACCCACTGAGAAAATCTATCAACGTTATTGAATAATTGGAAGTGTAGCTTCAAAACAATCCCACACGAGAGACTCCCGCTCCTTGCATAAGCCGATTTGAAACTCCTGGCAATTTTTCGCATTGAACAAGAAACTGGAATAGAAACAGCGCGTGTCCTCAAAGCAGGTGTAATACAGTCTCTATAAATTATGGTTAAATCGACTGAAAAGGGTTAGAAACATCTTTAAATTACTCTCGGGCATTTTTTTGCTAAGCATTCGATTAAGAAAGGACAAGTCGAAGAGGGCGCCAAGTGAAGAAAGATGAAATTTATTTCACACACTTTACAGAATTCTACCCTAACTAAATCATCACTTTGGGTCAACTTAAAATTGACAGAAGTAACTTATTAAAGTAAGTACAATACATGCTGAAAGAATAACATTTCTCATGAAGATTAATTACCCTTTTTATTATGCAAAGCCTTGATCAAGTCCTCTAAATATGCCACATAGAATAAGTTTTCAATATGAATAATTAAATACTGTCAGAGGAGTTTCCTGTTACCCTACCTATAGTTTTATTTATCTTTAGTCCAGTCGAAACTGCAAGCCATCGATCGCGAGCCATCACGCACTCACACGCACTTATTTCTACTTATTACGCACGAGAGCGCAGTTTGGGTGAGGTTTATTCCATCGAACATTCTGGGCTCAGAATAAAGAAATGGGACGAGAAGAGAGAAAATACAGCTCTGATTCAAATTATCAAGTGTAAACCGTTCTATCCAGCTTTTTTGTTTTGTTTTCAGGAATGATTTAGGGCCTTGAAATTTTAAACAGCAGCAGTTAAAAGTCTAAGACGGCCGTTTTAGATAGTCAACAATAAGTTAGGATTTTATATCCACAAATTAAATGTCATCTAAGTCACTGCACAAAAAAACTCAGAAAAACTTCAGTCCTTGAAATGTTTTGAACTCATATTCACTATTGCTGAAAGCCAAAGACTGCAACGGGGAAATACGATGTGATGTGTAAGATGAAACGGCTTTCCCCAACCGGAATAAAACAGTTCTATAAAATGTCTATAAGCACTTTATCTCCCCCATCCGTTATAAGAGAATCCAATCCATTTGTAAGCCGATTTCACACAACCTATGACCTTTTCCGTTGACTACAACAGGAATTTATGCGACAAATAGCTCGAGGCCTCGAAGCAGCTGTGATACTTTCTCTGTAATTATTCGTCAACTTTGAGTATGTGACGGTATCACAAATAAGTTCAACCTTGTTTTAAAGGGCATTCATTGAGAATAACACTAGGATCTCTAGCGACAGGGAAAGTCAAAGACACTGCAAAGTTAAGAAAGGTGCACTTAATTACACGCATTACAAAACTTATACCTTTAAGAACAACCACCTGGTGTAAAAATCAAAATTACCTCGTCTTTCGTTATTTACTAATTGGAGTAGTCGCTTACTGAAGAAACTAAAGTATATATAATATTTGCTGAGAGAATGGCATTTGTCATAAATTTTACTCGTACAATTCTGCAAAGTCTTGATCAGGCCTCCTTAATATTCTAAATGAAAATTCTTTAAAATGGACGAACTCTTTTAAAGTTAAGTTTCATTCTTGACGTGTTCGTGATATCCGAATTGGTTCAACGGCAGGTTAAACAAACGACTACAGATCAAGGTATAATGATATACAGTATCCTTAAAAACAAGATTTGTGTTTCAGCCTCTAACTTTTTCCACAGTACCGGCTGGCACAAACTTGGACCGGTTTCAGTCTGTATACAAAGAAAGAGCTGCAATTCCGTACGTTGATCATAATGTGGTGGTGACAACAATTACCATAGCCATGAAAACAAACTTTTCTGGAAACCACTCCTTCGTCAACTGTTGGGTGTGCTCCGTCCATCCACCCAGGCATGTCCGTTCCACATCTATGGAGCGGTGGGCAGTGAGTAGATATATTCGTTCCAGCCCCCGCCGAGAATCTGTACCAGTCTTCTGTCAAATTTTTATCACATTTTTTGTCACCGCGACCAAAATCGTTGCGTCGATCGGAGTCATTCAGAACCTTGTACTGATTGCATTCTGAGGTAGCTAAAAATGAAAATATATTGGAATATTCAAGCATGTGGCTTTATCAAAGGCGAAATGTTCTGATATCTCATAGAAGATGATGTAGCGAGGACATCGGCAACCAAGACATATTTTTTTTTTTTGGGGGGGGGGAGGGGAATCTGAAATATTTCCTTCAGATTCAGAGTCGCTCAAAACCTTGTACTAATGACGTTTGAGATACTAGAACATTAAAGGTCCTTCGAAACAAATATGCACTCGATAATATCAGGAGTGTAAAAATTTAAACAACTCGCCTCGTAAACAGCACTGGGGAATAATTGTGCCAGAGGAAAATAACAATAAAGACAACAATATATCTGTGAGTGCACTTATTATTCCATTACTGCATAAATTTATTAAATAAGTTCATAAGGGACTTGTCAGAAATTAGCAGGGGGGGAGGGGGGGTGGGAATTTTAAATTTGGGTTCGGAAATTAGGTAACCCATCCCTGCAATGGGAGTGAAATTTGCTAACCCTCCCCTTGAGCTTGGCCTAAAATATCATGACCCTCCCCCTCTTGTATAAATGATAAAATCTAGTTCTTGCAATACACTAGGGTGCGTCAGTATTATGAAAACTCAAAATATATTTCTAATCTGTTCTTTGTCATGCTACATACATACATTTTCGATGACAGCATTAAGAGTCCGACTGATCACTCGACTCTCCTTTTTCTCCCAATACAAAGTCTTCATCACTAGAACAAGTGGGTAATGCCTCATCCCCTTCATCTACCTCACATTCATCATGATCATCCACCTCTTCCAAATAAAGAACTTCCTTTTTCTTTTGTGGGTGAACCTCTACATGATCACGGGCATATATTTGCATGACCCTCCCCCTTTTAACTGCCCATGCTCAAAAAGTTGTGACCCCCCCCCTCTGTTTCCACCCCCCCTCCCCCCTGCTAATTTCTGACAAGTCCCTAAGAGCACGCAAAATATGTCACGGTAATAGTTACACTGTAGAACAGGGCAAAAATACGGAGCAAAAAAGTGGCCGCGATGAACGATCCAAACTATGGTTTTTCTTTTTTGTGTTTTTTAGGCTTGACTTTTAAAGAAACAAACGCCCGACAGATTCTTTAGTTGGTCACATAGAACACTTAAATGGTTTCGTCCACGTTATTTTCGTCTTTCGTGTACTCCCTATGCGATCGATGCGATGCACAAATAAGGCCGTAGGATGTATTTCGCAAACTAAAATCAAAATACTGAAAAGTAAAATAATAGTGGGATAATAAATCCCATATTCAATGGTTTAACATATAACACGAGAGGACATTTTGCTCATTTCTCGTCTTTTTCTACTTTTTATACTCAACTGCTACATAAAATACTACACAACTCGAAAAATATCCACGCGTACTCTAAGTTAAACCATCGAATAAGGAGTATTTATAAAAATTCAAAGGAGTTATTCTATTTTTCTTTTTATGGAATATACATTTAGACAACATTGACACTATTTACCTTCGATCCCACGTATAACATTGAGCATGCGCTAAAAATAGTCGAAAGGACACTTAACGTTTCCGAAAGCTTTATTTTCGGCCGCTCATCCAAGTTAAGGGGTCAAATAAGTACAGAGGATCGGCCCTGCTGCTAATCCTAACCTTGAGCTTGAAGAACTAATTCAAAATATTCCGTTCGCTCTTAAAGAACGAACCTAAGAATTACCAACCTATATCACACAGAGTTCCAAGGAACCCCCTAGGGCAGTTACACTTGAATCCATTGACAAGATCTCGGCATGATCCTCCATTGTGACAAGGATTAGTGCTACATTCCTTTATATCTGCAATTCCAGTTGTGATTGGTTTAGCTAAGCATGTTTCGCTACCTTGCGTGTCGTTTCAATGTTTTGTTGGGGAATCAATAAACGCTGCATGGGACGATTAATTACTCGTAAGACAAGAGTGGTAGCTTTAAGCTACCCAAGGGACTTTAGAGGGTCTAAGAACCTTTAAAAACAAGAAAAACTCGCGACGAAGGATTAGTTATTTCAAGATACCCCAGTGACCTCAGAAACGGGGGTAATCTAGTTGTAATGTGGAGAACGAACACGAAAGTAATTAAAAGTAAACGGTCATCACGAGCACATGGTCTGCTCTTCTGTTTAATCCCAGAATTCCCTTGGTTAAATTAAAATGCACGAAGTAATGTGACGCTTATGTCACACGACAATGTATTGTTCCTTTCCTTTAGCTAAAGAATTCGTACACAAAATTGTAGACAAAACATCTATAACAATACTAAGACAAAAGAAAAAAAGTGCTCTCAAATAAAGACTAAAGCGACTGAAAGTTACGGAGTACTGTGTCTTCTTAATAAGGAATGTTCGTAAGTCTTTCTTAGTAAGACATGTCTGAAATCAGAAATGTTCAACAGCAATGCTCATAATCAACGTAAATATTAAACAATATCTGATCAAATCTCTTGAATAAGTCTCTTCGTAGGCTTGGGCAATCGGGTAGACCTTCGAAGCACGACTTCAGTCGAGGTCTCGGCACAATCGGCAGGGTCAATAGGCCCAGGGTCTGCAAACTTCTGACACGAGGTAGGTGCAGAAGACAAGGGACCTGGTTTCCATGTCAACATCAGTAGAAGATTCCTCAAGCGTATCAAAAAAAGATATTATGGGTTCACCAGTCAGAAACCTCTTGAAGTGTGATGAATTGCGAGTCACTTTCGAGTTAGGACCTTCTACTGTTAACATGCTTTGATTCTTGTCAGTGACTAAAACAGTGTCTCAAACTTGGATGTCACATTCTCTGATAGCTCCCTTAGATTCAGCACGACACTTCATCTTCAACTTTTGTTGGGCATCTTGTTCACGCAAAGCTACAGGATCATATCCAAGTCTGTAGGCATCACTACAGGGCATGGTAGCTTGACCCTGATTGGTCGTCCAAAAAGAGCAGTAGCTGGGGCAACAACAGTAGTACTATGAGGGGTGGCACAGTAGTTGCGGAGAAACTGATACATTTGTTGCTTCCAGTTTGTAGTGGTGCGAAGTACCTTTCCAAAACACCTCATGAACCTTTCAACTTCGCCATTTGCCTCTGGCCATAAGGGGGTGACTTTTCGGAATACAAAACCAAGATAGTCAGCAAATTGTGCAAACTCATGCCCATTGAAGGAACGACCGTTGTCAGTTTTCACGACTTCAGGAACACCATAGGCAACAAATGTGCGGTCCAGCTTGGGAATCACAGCTTTAGCAGCAGTTGAATGCACAATCTCAATATTAGGGAACCTAGAGTAGTCATCTATCACGACAAGAACATAGAGCCCAGCCACTTCGCAGAAGTCGATGCTGACTTGGTGCCAGGGACTACAAGGTAACCGAGTCATTTTCAGAGTTTCATTTCATTTCGCGGGAAGGCTTCGGTGTAGCAATGTGACATTTTTAACAATTGAATCAACAACACTGTCCATTCTGGGAAACCAAATCTTTGAACGTTACAGGCTACTTGTCTTAACTATTCCTTGGTGGCCCTCATGAACTAATTCTACCATTCGCTTCTGATGAACTTCAGGTATCACCATGCGGTTTCCACGGAGCACAATTTTCCCATCCACTGAGATCAGTTCATTACGGACTTTCGCAAAGATTTTGAGAGTGCTTGTGTCGACAGTTGTCGATCCTTGCTGAGGCTTGTGAAGTCGGGCTATTGAAGATTTGCAGCAGGGGCTTGTGGTCTGTCAACACTTTGAAGTGGCTTCCAAGTAAGTACATACGGAAATGATGGCAACCCCAAGCAATGGCCAAGGCTTTACGCCCTATCTAAGAATAGCGCTTCTCCACACTTGAATGAGCTTTGCTGCCATATGAATTGACTTTACCATCCTGAGTTAAGACAGCACCCAATCCGACAGGGCTAGCATCCACTAGTAGGACTGTTTTCTTTCGCGGGTCAAAATAAGCCATGACGTCGTCAGATGTAGGACTGTTTTTGAGCCTGTCGACAACTGTTTGATGGACCTCTCTCATTTGAATAAAACTGTTGTGAGTGAGCTCACGTAAGGGGGGCAACGATGTCTGCATAATCACGAATAAAGCGAGACATATAATTGGTCATGCCTGACAGACTACGAACGTCGATCACAGAAGAAAGTGGATCTGCTTTCTGAGTTGCTTCTATCTTTGCGGGATCAGGAGACATTCCTCTACCACTGAAGACCAGTCCAAAAAAGTTGATATCTTTACGCAGACTTAAGTTTAATTTCTTATCGCGAGTCAGCACTGCATGGAGGGTCTTGTGTTCCTTTCTGTTTACACCATAAATTATGACATCATCACTGATTTTTTTCCCATTGGGAATTTCACTAATAGCTGAGGCAATCACATCTTGAAACATTTCTGCAGCAGCATTGATTCCAAAACTGAGGCGTTTGTATCTAAACAAACCAATGGGGATAAAAAATGTGCTGATATGTCGTGAGTCAGGATGCAGGGGTAGCTGGAGTTAACCTTGGTTCAAATCCAATCAAGAATTGGCATAGGATGTCGCACTCAGCATATGGCTTTGTTGGCTTCCCTCATGTCTACACACAGTCGAACACTACCAGGTTGTTTGGGCTTTGGGACAAGAACAACTGGGGAGACCCATGGTGTTGGTCCCACAGCAGGTTCAATGATGTCCTCTTTGAGAAAGGACTTCACACAAACTTCCAGGTTCTTTCTTTGACGGTAAGGGATTCTTCTGTGTGACTGATGTACCGGCTTTACACTTTCATTGATGTATAGCTTAATTTAAACATTATTCATTTTTCCAAGGCCAGCGAACAGGCTAGGGTGCCTTATGAAAATGTTTTTCTCCACTGAGACGGCATTAGCAGTGCGAAGTAGGAACCCAGAGTTGACTGCGCTGCACTTAGACTCCACTAAAGCAAAGAACTTGCCTAAAACGTGGAACGGATCACTGGAGTTGTAAACATACACCCTAGTATCACAAGACTTCAGTTTCACGTTACACACCTTCGAAGCACTCAAGCTCAGAATGTTTTCACTCGCTCCAGGGTCAACCAGGAAATTGCGCTTGAAACCATTGACCTTTAGTGAGACAAACGGAGCACTAACCTTATCGACGGGCGTTTCTACCCTGAACCCGTACCCGTCATCAGAACTCGACGGCGTTTCACGTGGCATAGATCTTCTTCTCTTTGGTGGAGATCGGCTGTGACTTGACGACTTTGTACGACAACACTTCGCGTAGTAACCATATTTGTGACGAACACCACCGTGACTTGCGATTTCAAGCAAGTCAACCTTTCTTCTGATCGTGTGGCCAGCTTTCACTGCATTCGTAGCACGAACGTTTCTTCTGAGGAGTTTCTGGCGGCTGAGGTAACACAGAATTGGCACTTTCCAAAGGTTCAATGTCCTTCGGCTGTTTTTCGGACACGTCGAGCGCTCTTGCTTCATCTAAAAATGCATCGAGGGTCATCGTCCCATCTGTTGATGCTTTATGGCGCAAACGTTGGGACGAACAAGATTGAGTGTTAGTTAGCAAACTCACATGTAGATGCCAGTTGATGTAAACGAGAGTGATAAGCATTCATCGATTCACCATGGATTCTGTTTGGCTTGCCGAAAATTGTAAATATCATACTCGACATTCTTTTTGGGGTCGAAGTACTCGGTGAGTTTCTCTTTCGCCGTTTCAAAATCATCTCCGCTCTCCGGCAAAGTTTCGAAGATGTCACACACCTCTTCTTCAGCATAATAAAGTAAAAAAGCGCTTTGCCTCGTTTTTTCCTTGATGTCAGCAGCAACAAAACAGATTTTCGAGCCGCTTGATCCATCGTTGAGCGATTGCACCATCTGCGTGTATATCGAAGGAATCGAAGCTTGGAAGACAAGAAGCCATCACAAAGACTGCGGAGATTGACCTGAAACGACGGGCCGTCCTCGTTGCCAATGTAATGTGGAGAACGAACACGAAAGTAATTAACAGTAAACGGCCGTTACGAGCATATGGTCTGCTCTCTATTTTAATCCCAGAATTCCCTTGTTTAAATTACATGCATGACGTAAAATGACGTTAGTGTCACACGACACTACAATCTAAATATACTTGGAGATGGACAGATGCTCCGTTTCCACCTGTCCACGTTAAAAAGGAGCGTTTTAAAACGGTGCGTTTTCAAAAGACTCCACTTTTGAAACCTCTTTCGAAAGTCCCCGTTTATATCAAAGTATTAAGGCGTCGAAGTATGGATGACTGGCGAAAACACGTCAAAAAGAATGCGTTTTCAAACAAAAACGCAATAGTGTGGCGCGGGCCTAGATTTACCACGGTCTCTCTAATTATATGAAATAGTTATTTGTACAAACTGAAAATGTGAGTTACCGTATTCACATAAAGGTCCAGTGAGGCCTGCAGCACAACGAAGGTGATGTCCCTGACGGGTAAAATACAAATGAAAATTGGATCGTTAATTCACAACTTTAAGTCTGTAGCTGAAAATATCATAAACGAAATATGATCTTCCCGCCAAACAATTGTGTGTTTCTGAAATGAAACCCTGCAGAAGTGAAAACATGTAAAGGTTACGATTTTAAAATTTGGACTAAAACACGTGAAGAGAAACCAAGTTTAAAGATTGAAAGGGATAGACTTAGAATTCTTAGTAAACCGTCGAATACTTTAAAAAAAAAACAATATGCAAAAAACCTCCCTCTGTCAAGTATTCATGGCAGCCATTTCCAGCAACATTACAAAAATTGATAAAAGGAAAACTTTCCAGCTTCTGATACGTTATGCAAGGCTTAAATTAAAGAACTATGTACCTTCACGAGCAAAGAGAATGTCACCCCTTTTTGATCATCAAGGTTTGTATTCTGATCGACGTATCCATGTTTGTTTAGTTCGCAAGTTCCTTTCTTGTTCACCTCGGATAGCTCTCTGAAGTTTGTTGAAGTACACCACGAGTTTCTGAGGCACCAATGATTGCATGACATAAAACTGGGCGATTGAAACTGTTTAACGACATGACCATTAAGCCGAGTATTTTCTCGCGTCTTAAAGAGAGCCGAATTAGTAGAAGTGGCGTGTTTTGGAAACATTATTCCTAGAACAAGGATCAAAAAGACATTTTTCGCTGCACCCATTACTCGACGAACACGCACAAAGTCAATCGTGACTTAGAGTAAAACTCAAGAATCCTTTTTCTTCCTTCCTAAGCAAAACTCAAGTTGAAATGCGAGGGGGCAATTCGTCGATTCCTGCTAACAGGTGTTCACCATCCTACGTCTGGGAAAATTAAGAGAGACATTTGACCACATAGAGGCGTTTTAATTACAATATCCTTGACATGCACTATTTTCAAATGAATAATTAAGTTTATTCATTCCACGTTTAAATTTTGTATTCAGCTTCTTGTCGTCAAGCAGCGCTATTGTGTTTCAATTACAGTAAATGTTTTTCTCGTCAAGTGCATTTCACAAAGAGACTCGAGAAAGCAAGAAGGAATGAAAGCAAGAACCAACAACAAACTCAACCCACATGTCAATATCACTTTACCATTATTTGTGCTAGTCAAAACACGAGACTCATGATTTATTGAAGAACGCAACTCATTTTTGGCTCACATCAACCCATCCGGCCCCACACACGTCAGCTTTATTATGGTTTTCAATGGGATTGTGAGTCAGAGCAATGCCCCAAGGACCATATCATAATAGTCATTATTTTTCTTCTGCGGCTCTCTTCAGTTTAGCAAATTTAATCAAACTGACCCTTTGTTTTGCTGGTAGAAAACAACAGTTCGACAGCCAGCTCTTTGCATGTCACCCGTTAAATGCCTTTCTTTGTTCATGTCTTCTTGTGAAATAGCCATCCACTGAGAAAATATGTAAATATGTCAACTATGGGCGGCCGTCATCACCAAAAATACAAGGATGTCAAATAGATCAGCAAATACAAAGATGGTGTAAGGATCAGCTGCAGGATAGCATAGCTAATAAAGGAATGGCATGGCCAAATTATAGACAGTCTAGTTTTCCTTCGTGAAACAGAACACCCTAAACATGCTAAACATGAATAGTTTAGCCAAATGAGAAACGGTCTAGTAGCCCATGTTGAGTTGGAACATGAGATTGTGAAATGGACTCGCTCAATTACGAATAGCTTAGCACTCATTTGCAATACAGTACTCAAACGGTGTAGCGTTGCGTTAAACGGCTCAGGGTAACGTCGAGTAGCACAGCGTACGCACAAACGGTGTAGCGTTGCGTCAAATGGCTCAGCGTAATTTAGAATGGTACAGCGTACACACATATGGTGTAGCGCTGCGGGAAATGGCTCAGCGTAATGTCGAATGGTACAGCGTACATAAAAACAGTGTCGCGTTGTGTGAAATGGCTCAGCGTAATGTCGAATGGTACAGCGTACCTATAAACTGTGTAGCGTTGCGTGAAATGGCTTAGCGTAATGTCGAATGGTACAGCGTACATACAAACAGCGTAGCGTTGCGTGAAGTGGCTTTAATTATCACCACTAATCGGCGTTACCACCAGCGCCTTTGTTTGGAGGCTTGGCATATTAACCCGCCCATGCTCCTTTAAATCGTGACGATGGCGGTTTGCTTCCTGACGCCTATTTACACCTAGTCAGAAAAAAGGCCGCTAATTAGTGATCATATAAAAGGACCTCTTGTTGCAGCGTTTAGATCACCCCTGATGAAGGCACTAGACAGGAGTGTCGAAACGTTGGGTCTATGAATTGTAACTTCATTAAATCTGCAAACCAGAGTAGCATCAAACTATGTCTTGGAAACTTTTTGCATTTAACAAGAAATTGGAATAGAAATAGCACGTTTCCTCAAAGCAGGTGTAATACATTCTCTGTAAATTTTGGTCAAATCGACTTTAAAGGGTCACAGACATGTTCAAATTATTCTCAGGGATTTTTTTGATAAGCATTCGGTATAGAAAGGACAAGTCAAAGAGGGCGCCAAGTGAAGAGAGATGAAATTTATTTCACACACTTTATAGAACTCTACCCTAAAGAACTATCACTTACAGTTGACAGAAGTAACTAATTAAAGCAAGTGCAATACATGCTGAAAGAATGACATTTCTCATAAAGACTACTCTTTTTAGCATGCAGAGCCTTGATCAAGCCATCTAAATATGCCAAATATAAAAAGTTTTCAATATAAATAATTAAATACCGTCAGAGGAGTTTCCTGTTACCCTACCTATTAGTTTTATTTATCTTTAGTCAAGTCGAAACCGCGCGCCGTCGATCGCGAGCCATCACGCTTCGCACGCACTTATTTCTACTTATCACGCACGAGAGTGCAGTTTTGCGTGAGGTTCATTCCATTGAACATTCTGGGCTAAGAATAAAGAAATGGGAAGAGAGAGGAGAACATACAGCTCTGATTCAAATTATCAAGCGTAACCCGTTCTCTCCCTTTTTTTTTTTTTTTTTGTTGTTGTTTTCAGGAATGAGTTAGGGCCTAAATGAGTTAGGGCCTAGGTTAGAACTAAATGAAAATTCTTAAAAAAGGACGAACTGTTTTAAAGTTAAGTTTCATTCTTGACGTGCTTGTGACATCTGAATTAGTTCAAAGGCACGTTAAACAAACGACTAAAGATCAAGGTATAATGATATACAGTATCCTCGAAAAACAAGATTTGTGTTTCAGCCTTTAACTTCTTCCACAGTACCGGCTGGCACAAACTTGGACCGGTTTCAGTCTGTATACAAAGAAAGAGCTGCAATTCCGTACGTTGATCATAATGTGGTGGTGACAACAGTTTTGATAGCCACTAAAACAAACTTTTCTAGAAACGACTCCTTCGTCAGCTGTTGGGTGTGCTCCGTCCATCCACCCTGGCAAGTCCGTTCCACATTTATGGTGCGGTAGGCAGTGAGTAGGTATACTCGTTCCTGCGCCCGCCGAGAATCTGTACCAGTCTTCTGTCAAATTTCTATCACATTTTCGGTCACCGCGACCAACATCGCTGCGTCGATCGGAGTCATTCAGAATCTTGTACTGATTGCATTCTGAGGGAGCTAAAAATGAAAATGTATTGGAATACTCAAGCATGTGGCTTTATCAAAAGCGAAATGTTCTGATATATTATAAAAGATGGTGGAGGCGAGGACATTGGCAAAGAAAACATTTTTGGGCGGGGAGGGGGTGGAGGGAATTTGAAAAAAGATGGGTTCATATTTCCTCATATTCAGAGTCGCTCAAAACCTTGTACTGATGACGTTCTGAGATACTTGAACATTAAAGGTCCTTCGAAACATCCACGCATCTAATGATATGAGGAGTGTAAAAATTTAAACAACTGCCTTGGGGAATAATTGTGCCAAAGGACGACAACAGTAAAGACAACAACATATTTGTTATTCCATTACTGCATCAATTAACCAAATAAATTCAAGAGGACGCGCACAAAATATGCCACGGTGCACAACGGTATTATACTGTAGAACAAGGCAAAAATACAGAGCAACACACGTTGATTTTTCTTTCTTGCGTTTGTTAGGCTTGACTTGTAAAGAAATAAACTTTTACGCGCGACAAATTTTTTAGTTGGTCACATAGAACACTTAAATGGTTTCATTCGTGTTGTTTTCGTCTTTTGCGTACTCCCTATGCGATCGATACAATGTAGAGATAAAGCTGTAGGATGTAATTCGCAAACTCCAATCAAAATATTAAAACGTGAAATAATAGTGGAATCATATATCCCTAATTCGATAGTTTAACATATAACACGAGCGGACATTTTGCTCATTGTTCATATTTTTCTACACAACTTCTACGTAAAATACTACACAACTCGAAAAACATCCACGCGTACTCTGAACTAAACCATCGAATAAGGTGTATTTATAAAAAGTCAAAGGAGTTATTCTATTTTTTTTAATTGAATATACATTTAGACAATACTGACACTATTTACCCTCGATCCCACGTGTAACATAGAGCATGCGCCAAAATGATCGAAAGGACACTTAACGTTTCGAAAGCTTTATTTTCGGCCGGTCATCCTAGTTTAGGGGTCAAATAAGTACAGAAGATCCCCTGCCGCGAATCCTAACTCTGAGCCTTTACGTACGAACATGAAGAACTATTTCAAAATATTCCATTCGCTCTTCAAGAACAAACCTAAGAATTACCAACCTATATCACACAGAGTTCCAAGGTACCCCTCAGGGCAGTCACACTTGAATCCATTGACAAGATCTCGGCATGATCCTCCATTGTGACACGGATTAGCGCTGCAATCGTCTACATCTGCAATTCCAATTGTGATTGGCTTAGCTAAGCATGATTCGCTACCTTACGTGTCGCTCCAATATTTTGTTGGGGAATAAACACTACATGAAATGTTCAATTACTCGCAAGACAAGGGACCTAAGAGGGTTCAAGGACTTTTAAGAACAAGAAAAACTCGTTATATGGGATTAGTTATTGCAAGATACCCCCAGTGACAGTGAAACGGGTGTAATCAAAATTTACCTGGAGATGGATTTTAGAATGAATGAGGCCGAGGGGCGATTAGTCTTTTGACTTCATTCACTTTTGCTGCAAGAAATTATTTTCTTTCTCCTTTTTTTTTGCAGTTATTGTTTTCTGTAGTGTCGCAGCTGACTATGGAATTAGGAACTATTCCTGCTCTCTCTTACTTGCTTGAGCTCTTGAGGTACAAGTGACAAATTCTTAGTTTTGTTAGACGTTTTGAAAGACTGATCAAAAATGAGCTAAAATAGTCATGAGCTGAAGAGGATAACTTGGATTTCAGATGGCGTTATCCAGTTCCTTTCAAATATCTTACTTGTTTCGCATTTTAACCCAGTAAAGCCTGCAGCACAAAGGCAGCGGTATCCGTGTGGTAAAAACCCGGATTGACATGTCCCACCATTCATACAAGGCCTGGTTCCACATGAGTTCTGGGAAATGATAAATGGAAAAAGAAAAATTCAAATCAGACTGAAGTAGACAGGAGGATTAAAGGAGAGTACGAAAAGAATCTATGAACGTAATTCTTTCTGGAATGATAAGAGGTTAAGGTTTGTGAGCTGTAGCTCATAATTGCCATAGCTTTTCTCAGTTTCCCTTGAATGAAGCGACATGAAGAACTGCAGCTCTTCATCGGAATATGCTGATCTGATAGTGTTTAATCATTCATGTTCCTGGGTGGAGAGAGACATTGTAACAG